GTTTCTCCCTCCCCCCCCAGAAAGGATTCGGCTTCAAGGGCAGCAAGTTCCACCGTGTGATCAAGGACTTCATGATCCAGGGCGGAGACTTCACCCGTGGAGATGGCACTGGAGGTAATTTGTCCCACGCCAGCCCAAGGATCCAGGCGCGGTGTCTTGAAGCAAGACAGCGGCCGCGCTCCTAACCCGCTGCCTGGCTACCCCTGCGGACCAGTGTGGAGCTGGAGAGCGGTGCCACAGTGGGAACGAGTGGGCATGAGTGGGCACGCAGCTCACAGAGACCTGGCCTCGAAGCAGAGCCCGGTACTGGGGCGGGATGGGCGCAGTGAGGCTTGGCTGGCTGGTACCTGAGTGTTACCCGTGTAACTGTGCCCTCTGCCCCGGCAGGACCTGGAGCTCCTCACTAAGAAAACTTTCCTCTGCAGCAGCTGGTGCCTCTGCCAGGCGTCCTGGCTGCTGGAACACATTTAGTCCGGTAGCAGCAGAGTTCAAACCTTCTACCAGCACTTGGCAAACATTAGTAAAGTTGATGATATCAGCATTTGGGCTTGTAAGCTCATATCAGGTCTGTTCTCGCGCAGCCTCCTGCTCCGGTCCCTTGGGGGCATGATCCCTCCTGCCCAGCTTGTGGGGTGCTTTTAGCTCCCTCCGGTAGCAGGTAGCTCACAGTTCCCTGCAGCCCTGCGGTGTTGGTAATTAGTTCCTCCTCTAGATGTGCTTGTTCACCCCACCCAGCCTGTGGAGAGAGCCGCCATCATCACCCCTACCCTGACATATTCCCATGAGAGCAACGTGGCCTTTTTTTTTCCCCACCTTAGGAAAAAGTATCTATGGGGACCGCTTCCCTGACGAGAACTTCAAGCTGAAGCACTACGGCCCTGGCTGGGTGAGCATGGCCAACGCCGGCAAGGACACCAACGGTTCCCAGTTCTTCATCACCACAGTGAAGACACCGTGGCTGGACGGCAAACACGTGGTGTTCGGCAAAGTGCTGGAGGGCATGGTAAGGGGGTGATGGGTGCTAAGGGGGTGATCGATTCCCAGGGGGGAGAGCGGGACCGGGCAGATGCTGTCTAGACAAGCTCTCTGGGGGCAGAGCGCTGTGGAGAATGGGCTGGGAGGTGCCTTCTGGGACGGGGATTGCACTGAGCTGGCTCTGCCCGTGCCCAGCGTTGCCCCCCTCTCATGCCTCTGCTTTCCCCAGGATGTGGTGAGGAAGGTGGAGAACACCAAGACAGACAGCCGGGACAAGCCCCTGAAGGATGTCGCCATCGCCGACTGCGGCACCATCGAGGTGGAGAAGCCATTCGCCATCGCCAAAGAGTAATCCACCCTCCCGGCTCCGCGACACGGCGTGGGGCCCTGCGCTCTGCAAGGGACCCGGCCACGAAGGGCTGCGGGCCTGGGGCTGCCCTGCTCCCCTTCCATGTGTTTCCCTGTGGTCCCGGGGCAGGTGAGCAGCAGCCGAGCCGCTGTGCCCCGTGCCCCTGCTGCCCGGCCTCTCCCTTCACCCTGCCGCCTTCCAGATGTCCAGCAGGCAGGACGGGGCGCTGGCTCCTCTTCCCATCACTTTTGTAAGAAGCACATGCACCAATAAATGTGACCAATGTGTTTTTTAAAGAGTCGCTTCTCTTCTGCTCTCAGAGGGGTGTGGATCGCTTACGCATCCCTCAACCCTCCAACCCCCTTCTTTCACGTTTCATCAAGCCGGGAGCGGCACTGCGGTTGGCCCTGGATTTGCTTTGCAGAATTTCGGAGCACAGCGATCTTTTGCCAGTCAAGCCCAAGTGATTTATTGCACCAAAGCCCAGATGCTGAGGGGTTTTCCAGCACGGTTGAGGGTCCAAAGGCTCCTGCCGCAACCCCAAAAGGTCAGGGCAGAAGGCGGAGCTCCTGCTCTCCCAGTGAAGGCACTTTGGATGGTGGTGGGTGAGCAGCGCTGGCCTGCAGAGCAGCTGTAGCTCCCGCTGTACCCCTTGGCTTCTCCCACCCAGTTTTCCTGCCCCATCCCAGGGGGGAGGAGCTATTTTTACCACAGGGATCCTTTCCGCTGCCCGGCCGCTCACCGCTGCGGCCCTGGGTGCTGGGTGGGTGCTCAGGAGCCCGGCAGGCCGGGGGCTTGGGGCACTGCCCGGCTGGGGGTGCAGCTCGGGGGGATATAGAGGCCCTGCAGCACCCCGCTGAGGATGGTGTTGGGGAGCAGGTCTGCTAGGAAAGGGGGGAGCTGGAGCAGCTTGGTTTCTCCCAGGCCCCATTAAAGGAAAAACATGTTTTCAGGGCCCAAAAGAGCCTTTTCCCTTGGAGGCTTTGGGGACCCGCACCCGCGGTCTTGCTCCTTACCGGTGCCCAGTGGCCGTGCGTAGGGGTCGGTGCAGAAGCCGATGACAGGCCGCTGGGAGGGCAGGTGGCTGGTGCTGCCATGGGAGAGGGGACATCGGTGCCCGGTGAAGAGTTCGGCTTTCACCCCGGGTGACC